GTTTAGAAATTATCCTAACTGGCCAGGGGTAAACCAGTTGGCTATTTACAAGTGTGACCGAGGAGCTGCAGTTGGCACTACCAAGATCAAATCAATCAAGTTTTTAAGACTGGGATTGAACACAAAGCCTCTGGATTGCAATTCTAGTACTATAACTACTTGACCAAGCTGCCTCCTGAGTGATCAGGCAACTATATTCACTTATCCCTTTCACATTCACTATTTTTGATATTATTTGTTCCCGTGACTTGTTAATAAAATAGGTTACAAGTTTCAAAGGCCCTTACTTTCAAAATGAGGCCCAGTGCAAAGTGTTTTATCTGAAATCGAGTAAACTAGTAATTTGTACAAGAGGAGAAAAGAGTTCTACTGTCAAAACGTTTGCCATAGCCCATGTTTTGAAAGGGAGGCTAGGGGCAACTCGGAAATAGCTTATTGGCAGAACATTAAAAATTTATAGTGCAACAGTCATGTGCAAAGAATTCCACAGAAGCACTCTTGTAAATTTAGAATGCTGTTTTATACAGAACATACCTGGTAACCACCACCAAAATTACCTGAGTGACAAATGTTAAAATGAAAATGTCAGTCATTTGATATGAGTTGTTACACTAGACAATATATTTGGTTCAACTTATCTTGCAGTTTTTGGTGCGGCTTAATTTGCATATATATGTTGTAGTTAATTTTTTATCTCAGCTTATTTTTGTTTTTCTTTTGTTTTTGGGTATGGTAATGTATGCTAATGAAGTTGAAACAAAAGAAAAACAAAAATAACCTGAGATAAAAAATTAACTACCACATATACACTTGTGACTATACTTGGAAAGGCTTACCCATTGTGCTAAGAAATACCCGGAATAGTGGACTGCCCAGCAAAAATGTTCCCCATCAAAGTTGCAGTAATCACAAAATTTTTGTGAAATGCAAACGCTTTTTTTTATTTGTGTGTGCAACAAAATCCTTTAAGCCATGTTTTTTTTCTCCAGGTGAAAAATGGTGTAACTACGTTGTTACTTGTTTTTTTTTTTTTGGAAAATGCCAAAAATTTGGGTCAGTCAGACGACGGTAAACGGAGAAAAAAAAGAGGATGGCCATAAATCCAGTACAAATAGTGGCACTTACGTTTTAATCAATAGTGCATAAAGATGGTTGTTGACACAACATTTACATAATTTTTCATAGTAGAGCTGCATTTCCAAGCTAAATGTGAGCTTAATAGTAAATAAACTTAAGCTTAAGTTAAATTTTATGCAATAACTTCGCACAGCCTTCATTTACAAGAGGGCTGTCATTGGGTTCACAAAACAATAGAAAAAAGACCCGGGGTCAAGGAGACGTGCAGATCAACCAATCATGAAGGAGATAAGAAAATTAATGTATGGGGCTTCACGAAATCTTACCCAAGACTTATAAATTAGCTAGTTCAACGCTTAAGTCGTTAATGCATTCAGTAATACTGGGTAGAAGCGAAAGATGACGACAGAAAATATCGAAATTGTGCCCTGAAAACTACAAAAGATATTCCCGAAAACTGCAACACTATAAACAACACGTGACAAACTAACTTCATCACACAAAGCCTCGTTTGACAGTGACAACAAAGCTCAGAACGAAACACAAGCGGTAAGGATAATGCTCATGAAGGAAATACAAGATGTACTTACTAGAATCATTCCACATATTTGTGTTTTTACTCGACACAGTTCTTGTAAAGCTGATAAATTTCAGAAGGGCGAAGAACGTTCCCGCGAAGATATCGAAAAGTTTGGCGCGAAACCGGAACGCCCGCACGCATATACTTAGGGGTAAATCCGCTGGTGAGGTGGTGGTCAGACAGTCGCCCATGACAGTAGGTCCGATGTGCGTACAAATCATTTCCAGCCTAACGGAAATCTTCAAAGAGATTTTGCTTGTTATCTTCAAAACACGTGTGTTATAACTTTGTTAACGCGTCTGACTTCAGATCTGGGCTCGGTGTTTTGTCCTCGCCGTGCAATCCGTCCCCCGTCAATAGACATGAGTAGCTATGAGTTGCCCACTGTAAAAATAAAAACTCCCATCAGGCGTGACTGTCATTCCCGGGAGTCGTCGATATACCGTAGTATGGGCACTATAACGCCTAGTATCAAGCGACATTTATTGTTGCTTCTCTTTTATTATTTGTTTTGTTCGTTATTTTCCCGCTGTTTTTTTGCGTTCTGGAATTTTTCCCCGCGAAAATGAAGCTCGACTCCGTATCGCTGCTCATTCTTAACATACTACCAATTTTTTTCAGGGTTGAAATTCGCGGAAACTCGATAAAAAAGATAAACTGGTATGTAAAAACGCCTTGTCATGGGTTTCAGACCTTCAAGAATCTTGTCTCTCTACAAACGGGTCAAGACTGCGACACAATTTTCGGGGTATCTCTGATCAAACCCTCTGACAGTTTGCATTAGAAACCTCAGAGATTGCGCTCGCTCTTATGGTTTAAAGGTGATTTCATCACGCTGGTATAGCTTTCTCCATCCCACTTAGTCACTCAAGGGGTACCACAGAACCCCTGAGATATTCACCGTTTTTTAAACAGCCTGGTAATAGGCAAGACAGTGTATCGATGTTGTTCTTCTTACTCAGTTTTCTTGTTTAAATAGGCAGTAATACTTTAGTAGTATCAATGTCATGAAATCATGCTTGGTTGCTTTAAAGATTGATAACAATTTCAACGGGATAACTCCAGTGCTTCATCATTATAAAAGTTATCCGGTGGTTTGGGCGATACAGCAAAACCATATAACAAGTACGCGACAAAGCAGTTGAACCATGGATAATAGAAAGACTAGTCTTTCTATTATCCGTGGTTGAACCCTTATCTAGTCTGTTGCAGTCTGATTTTGATCTCCATCCAACGAAATGTTACATCCATTAGTAAGCAACTAAGGCAGCCTTTAAATAGAAATAAAAACTTGTTCCTCCAGGGAGTCGTCACATAGATTTATTAAACTATAAGTACAATTCACACCGCAATTCTTTTTAGTTCAAATGCTAGATCAGCCAAAATTCACACAACTCCATCTTGACTATTAACTCAACAAAACAGCCTTTTTTGACACTGAGCTCTTTGCAGGTGGTTAGTCGAATGACACATAGCGTTGAGCTTAAGACCAGGCACTACAATACGGTAAGGAAAATACAGACCTTACAATTCTTTTACTGCAAATTAACTTTCATACATGGTTTCAGTGTATTCACCGATTTCACACAGACATTTACCCCGCCCCACCAAAATTTAACATAACCGTTGACTTAGATTTATCTTGGGACGACCATAATACCGAGAAGAAATTGGAAACAATGGTTATGCAAAATTTGGGGGGTAAACAAGGTGCATTATGGTCTATGTGAAAATGGTCAATTGCCTAGTCTTCAAAAATGTGTTTTATAACACGTTACTGACCTTCTGTAAACAGTCATTCATACCTTTCTGTGTGAAACACGCAAGTAAAGTAACCCGCAACTTCCAGTAATATTTCGTGCTCAATGTGAAAGACGACTGGCAATAATAAGTTAATTTCTGCTAGAGTTATGTCCATTTTAGCTCTGGAAAACGTTAAAATTTATTAAAGGATATATTCAGGTGTTTCAACGAGACTTTTATGAGAAAAAAAGGAGATTTAGTGATTGATTAAAGCGACAATCATAGCTACCATCTTATTTCCAATCTGAGAGCCCAAACATGACGGCTGTACGTTTGTAAGATATGTTTACAAATAAATTATCCACACAAACATAAAAAAAAAAAATTCCCTTTCACAATTTTTTCCTTTTGAGCGACGCACGCCAAACGGAAGTGGACATTTCGCATTCTTCGGTAGTGGTTTTTGCTAAAATTGTCGCGCAAATCGTTTTTTTTTTAGGGTAAGGACACTGAACAATACTAATTTGGTAGCGTGAAGGCATAGGTACTGGGTAAGACGGGCGACAAAGACGTGCAACTTGTTTTGCAGCATCGCTGCAAACTGAGTTGAGTAGTGATGTTGCGCGTTTTATCAACCAAGAATCAAACCTGTCTTGCAACCAATCAGATTGTTGCAGGTTGCGAAAATTTGTTGCAGAAAATAGAGAGTAAATGTACTTTTTGCAACAAATTCTGTACATGTTGCGCGTTTTAAAGACCCAAGGCAAACTTGTTTTAGGCATAAGTGACTTAAATCTCGTGTATGGCGTGTCTACATACATAACCTTCATTTGACTCGAATTTTAGTGTAGCTACAATATACAGCTAACATATAGCTATGTCTTCCGCATAATTTTATCCAAAAGGACAGGTTCGAACGTGGGTGGTAAAACGCTAACATTGCTTTTCAACCCGTTTTGCAGCGATGTTGCAAAACAAGATGCACGTTTTTGTTGCCCGTTTTACCGAAGCTTAAGGGAAAACGCTTCACGTCCAGTTGACATGCGTTGCTCAAAAACACCTTTCTAATACAAGCATGCTAGATTGACACTAGAGAACGCAAAAGTACAACTCACGGACAATAAAAACTAATCATGTACTTATGTAAAAAACGACTACGAATTACACTTCAGGAGTGTACCCTGTCCTCAAAAAGTGTATTATGTACACGAGAGCAGGATTTATTAGCGGCTTCAAGGACTGCGAGAGTCACAACCACTGAACGCAAGAAAAAAGCTGCCCCTACTTATCTATACATAATTTGACAAACAATTAAATTACTTTTTGTACTACGTGAGCCACTAAGCAAAATGCTACAACCTCTCGTAAGATAACTGCCTTTGCTCCTCCCCATAACTCTCGAGTTTGTTTTGCTGTTGGACGATTCAGTTTTCAAGATGAAAAGTTCTACATGAAGGAACCACGAAAGATGAGGCAGAGAGGAGAATGATAAGCTGTGCCTTTTTTCAAGTAATTACTGACATGAAAAAAATAGGCCGTTACAATAACAATATGTCCAACTCGCCAAGAAAAAGAAATGAGTAAAAAATCATTAAAAAAACTAATCAGTTTCCATGGGTTGTTCCAGCTGCTCTGCAGGAACACTGGCCTCCACTTCACCACCTGGTTGGGTGACAGCTTCCGATGTCTGACTAGCACCTTCTGTGGCCTGGATGGTGCTATTAGCTGCTTGAGCCTCCAATACTTGCTGATCAGTGGCAACATTGACTTGAGCCTGCATGAGCTGTTGGTCAGCAGTGGCTATTAAGAGATGGGGATGTGCCTGCGCAGCTGCCATAGCGGCTAAGATCTCCGCCGGCACGGTGATCCCAAGCGTGTCAGATGCCTCTACTGTCACGTGGCCTGTCTGCATGGCCTCGCTTATGGACACCTGTACATCGCCACCAGCAGTCCCATCTGCTACTTCCATGATCTGAACTTGACCGTGTGGGATGTTGATAGTGTCTCCAACAGAAACCTCGGCACCAGAGCTGGGTATATCCACCACCTGTGACATGGTGGTACTTACGACTGTCTCACCCACATCACTGGCTGAGATCCCTGCACTGACTGCAGCTTGTGTCACGGGGTCTACCAGCATGGAGGCCCTGACCGTATGGGCGTCTGGTAGGTGCTGTAAAGAAAACATAGAGCAAAACAGTTTATCCATAAAAGTGGAGTTGAACAGTGGACATAACCGAACCGAAACTAAAAATAGATGGGAAAAGCACGCAAAATCCTGGAGTTTGTGCAGCTAACAAAGTTCAAGATAATACCCAGGCTCTTCAAAATAGATGAAACGTATTTAATAAGTTTAACTATTCTTAGCAGGTAATTAGGCCGTGCAGGGTATCAAATTTTGTTCTCTTTGTAATTTTTTCCCCTTGTAGTCCACTTCACCTCCCGCCTCGATTAGCTTAGGCTAACTGCGGGTTGTGCCGTGAAATATTTCCCTTTCCCTTTTAAGTTCACTTCAATTTATTACTTGTAAACTTTTTCATGTGAAATAAAGTTGTTTTTGTTGTTGTTTGATATCAATACGTGTTGCTTTTTTCACAGGAAACTGGATAAATTCCAGATTTTAACGGTGTTAACATACTATCTCACCTCTCCTGCCTAAGAGGGATATTAAAGAAACATTCCGTGTATATAAACGAAAATGAAACTGCGTGCCACATCTGACGTCCTGAATCTCATGATACTTTTACGTATACATAATTTTTGAAACAAGGAAATCTTGAAAAGTGACACTCTGGAAAAAACTTTGTTTCTCTTTTACCTGTATGCAGCTTACGTTTATACTCGCATCCTAGGCGCAAACTACTGTAGGCCTAACAGGGATTGTTACAGAACAAACCTGTTGTATAACAGCATCATCACTGTGTGTTGTCTCTTCTACAGCCACCACACGGGGAGTATCATCCACTTCAGCTGCAGCAGCTACTACAGCTTCACTGACAGCCACCAGTGCCTCGGCTAACTGCACGTCAGCTTCACTTCCCAAGTGACTTATATTCACTGTGGAGATTGTCTGCTCTGACAAAGTCTGAAAAGAAGAAGAAAGGACACTCCATTACAATCCGCTAAGCTCCTCAGAATCAACTGTCTCGTACCCTGGCTACCAGGGTTCTCGTGTGCGACGCCAGAGTGCGGCGGAAATGTCTCGGGGTCGACCTCAGGCCGACACGTCTTCGACGCTCATGAAAAGTCTCTGGTACACAGAGTATGCTCTGTTCTGGGATTCTAGAAAGTAGCCGTCGATTCGCTATAAGGAAGAGCTAACGCTTGAAGCGTTGGATTGTGAAGTAAGTTGCGGTGGTCAATTTACTTCATAATATCGGTTGGAATCAAAATTTGGTCTTACTATCTCTCCAACGCAGCACAACAACTTGTTTAAAACGCTATAATTGTGACTTGTGCGAACCCCACTTGTAAAATTCGACAGGAAGTTTAAAAGCAAGCTATAGGTACATTTGCAACACACCTCCTTATTTATAAATTTCTTTGTAATATTTTTGTCTAGGCAATACCTGGTCCACAGACGTGCTTCCTTGAGCTTGTTCATCAATAATCTCGGTATCCGATTGGTCCTCTGGGCCCTTCTTACTGTTGCGGATCCTTGCACGTCCCTCGCCCTTGTTGTGTACCTTCATGTGATACCGCAGAGAGGCCTTGCGAGAAAAGTCCTTCTCACAGATCTCACATTTGAAGGGTTTCTCGCCAGTATGGATCCGCAGATGATTGTTGAAGTGGCTCCTGTGGTTGAACTCACGGCCACATTCTTCGCATTTAAAAGGTCGTTCTCCTGTAAGATCCAAAGTGATTTCAAGCAATTAGCTACTGAATCAAGACAACCTCGTTTCATAGAACAAATATATATTTTAATTACCTCTGTCCTTTTTTCCTCAAAGCCACGCGCGGCGCGCAAAAAAGTGAAATTATGCAAATTAACGATAAAAAGGAGGAGAAATTTTTTTTTTCCGCTGGGGCTCACGCCCTAGTTACTCGCGGCATCGCCGAACGCCCCTTACGCGAAAATTAAAGAAAAATAAGAGACTCTTTGCAGTCTGTTACCTGTGTGAGTTCTTATATGCTCCTTAAGCGTGCTAAAGCGCGTGAACATTTTTTCACATTCTCCACACTTGTACGGTTTATCCTCGCTGTGTACTGGCATATGGACTTTGAGGTCGGTGGAGCGTGCAAAGCGCCTGCCACATTCATTACATTCAAACGGCTTCTCTCCTAAAAAAGACAGCGAAGTAACACATCCTGTAAGTGCACAATATGCCGACGCTTATTTCTAAACCTTTTACGGAGATATTTCCATTTCGGTGTATTTGACACATTATTTTTCTCTCACACCAGTTAGGAGATGGGATAAAACGAGTGTCGCCCTTCGTCCATCGACGATGGCAAACCCAATAACAGAATACAACTGTAGCCTACAAGACGAATGACAAGTCCTACTGATTGCACATGACTAAAACAATTAGAAACTAAAGGAAATGTTAATAACATGGTTTTCACAAAAATACGAAACCTCTGCCACAAGCG